GGCATGGGGGACAGAAATGGCTACCTATAATGTCCACTGACATACCTGTCATTGGTACTTGTGAAGAGGGAAATGTAGGACCCAGCCATAACAAGCTCAGTAGAGGTCTGAGTCTCAGTAGCTTACACTAAGGCAATACCTGGTTCTAAGGAAGGCCACAAACTGAGACTACTCAGGTACCACCCAGGAACAGACCTTCCAAAGGAAATTCCTAATGTTCCAACTACTGTAGACAGGATCACCTGCCAGCACCCACCCACCACTTTTTCACCAGGATACCCCTAGCCAAATGTCAGCCAATCAGGGGTCCTGAACCTTAGGAATCCCTCATCCCGAGCCGGCGGTGGTGGTGCATGCCTTTAATCCCAGCACTCAGGAGGCAGAGGCAGGTGGATCTCTGTGAGTTTGAGGCCAGCCTGGTCTACAAGAGTTCCAGGACAGGCTCCAAAAGCTACAGAGAAACCCTGTCTTGGGCTGGAGAGATGGCTCAGATTTGGCCTCCAATTCATGATCCTTCTGTCTCAGCTTCTCAAATGCTGGGATTACAGGTGTGCACCACCATATTTGGCTAGAATATGACTTAATTTTTAATATTTTTGGTCTCTACAGATTGACCCCATAGCCTCACACATGCTAGATACTGTATTCTGCCACTGAGTTACACCACGTCTTGCCAGCACGGATGCTAGTCTACCAGCCAGTTAGTAAAGCAGCACATTGCTTATCCGCCAAGCTCCCAGGCACTCAACTTAAGAATTTGAAATTACTCTAAGAATCTGCCCCCACCAAAGAGGCTGAGGGACAGGTTCGAAAATAAGGTGACTTTATATATGGTAAACTGGGCAGTTATCTGCTAAAAGGCCCTGACCACTCCCCATGGACTACAAACCTAAGTGAAAGTCCATGGGAAGGATGCTTCCTTACATTCTCAAAAAATAAGGTGTGTGTGTGTGTGTGTGTGTGTGTGTGTGTGTGTGTGTGTGTGTTGGGGGGGTGATGGTGAGATGACTCAGCTTGAGACCATGCCTGACAGCCTGAGCTTCTTCCTTTCTTTTTTGGTTTTGAGACAGGGTTTCTCTGTAGCTTTTTTTTTTTTTTTTACTAAATATTTATTTATTTATTATGTATACAATGTTCTGTCTGCATGTATGTCTGCNTGTGTGTGTGTGTGTGTGTGTGTGTGTGTGTGTGTGTGTGTATGCCTACCATATGTGTCCAGGTAAACAGAGAGGCCAGATGAAGGTGTTGGACCTCCTGTAGCTGGAGTTACAGGTTGTAAGCTACCCAGCATGCGTGTTGGATATGGAACCCAACTCCCCTGGAAGAACAAGCAACTCTTGACCTCAGACATCCCCAGACCCTCATTCTGTTTTGTTTTTTCTATTTTTTTAAATATTTATTTATTTATTATGTATACAATATTCTGTCTGCATGTATGTCTGCAGGCCAGAAGAGGGCACCAGATCTCATTACAGATGGCCGTGAGCCACCATGTGGTTGCTGGGAATCGAACTCAGGACCTTTGGAAGAGCAGGCAATGCTTCCAACACCTGAGCCATCTCTCCAGCCCTCTCTGTAGCTTTTTTGAAGCCTGTCCTGGAACTAGCTTTTGTAGACTAGGCTGGCCTCGAATTCACAAGAGATCCGCCTGCTTCCACCTCCTGACAACCCAAGTATCATTCCTGGGACCCACATTATAGAAAAGAACCAACTCCTGGAAGTTATTCTCCGATCCCCACATATGTGCCCTGGCAATCATGCATGCACATACGCCTCACACAAAATAAATAAAAGGTAATAAAATTTTTTAAAAAGAGCACCGTTAATACCTATTTTTCCTAAGTGACAACCCTAACAAAACTACACACATGCACACACACACTTAGTCTATATCACATCCTAGAATATTCTAAAACTATCCTTTATAAACCAGGAATGGTGGCTCATGCTGTAATCCCAGCAAGAAAGCGAGGGGCATATAAATAAAATTTGAGGCCACCTTGGGTTACAAAGTGGGAAATAGGCTAGCCAAGGCTATACAGCAATAGCAAGATTCTGTCACAAGACAAAATACACACACACATGCACACACAAATCCCAATTATACAGAAAAATAAAACATAAGGGCTAGTAAGATGGCTCAGCTGGTAAAGGCATTTGCCACCAGGCCCAATAACTTCATTTCCATCCCCAGTACCCACAAGGTGAAAGGAGAGAATTTACTTCTGTAAGTTGTTCTTTGACCTTCAAACATGAGCCATGGAACATGACCATACCCACCCTCAGTAAATTATCCTAACTGTATCTCATCACATCACTCTGGCCTCTCAGTTATCTCTTTCTAGCTCTAAATGCCTTCTTTGGTTTTCCTTTCCTTTGTCTTTGGAGATGATTACACAAAGTAGGACATAGAAACCCTGTCTTGAAAAACCAAAACCAAACCAAACAAACAAACAAATAAAAAACTCAGGTTTTTTTATTTTTTAGGTTTTTTGAGACAGGGTTTCTCTGTGTAGCCCTGGGTATCCTGGAACTCTTTCTGTAGACCAGGCTGGCTTTGAACTCAGAGATCTGTCTGCTTCTCCTCCAGAGTGCTGGGAGTAGAGATGTGTGTCATGTCCATCATCTTTTTACACATCTCCACTGGCTTGAGATGAAGCTCGGTGGCAGAGTCCTGCCATGTGAATGGCTGTGCATTGAACTCCTACCACCAGAAGGGAAATAAAACAAAACTCCTCCCTTGCCCTCACTTCCTTCTGCACTTATCCCCAACCTCTCTTCTACCCACAGAAAAATTCTCAAGTTGCCTTCACGTATTGTTTCTCTTTCCTTACTTTTCTGTTTACTTTTTAAACCATTCTACTCAGGCCAACATCTTCACTCGGTTCATACTCGTCAAGCAAAAGTCACCAATAACATTTGCTAGTTATCTCCGAGGTAACAAATTCATTAAATCTCTGACTCAACTGTACCAGAACACACAGCATCTGGAAACAGGAGCCTCCCTTCCTGCCTCAAACTTCTGGCCTTGAATTCTACAATTCAACACTCTAGACTTGACTTTCTGCCTGCTTCCTTCTCTATTACCCTTTCTCTGTAGAGTTTCCTAAGACTTGGTCTTGGAATTTCTTTTATCTGGATAAATTGGCTCATGAAGTTTAAAAACATCTTATTTAGCTGCTGACATTTGAACATCTGGATTATATATACATACTTCCAAACCCAACTTTCTGATTCTTTTCGGGGGAACAGCAGTTATCTGTTCATAATGGGGCAACATTCTCACAACACAGCATAAATATATGGACAGAGCAGAAGCAGCTCCCTTGATGCTAGGTGCATTTGTTATTCTCGCAGATATAACAAGAGGGTTGGGAATACAGTCCTAAGTCACATTCCACAGTCTTGGGGGAAAAGGGTCTTTGTCAAGTTTACCACTGGTTGGGTAGGGTCCCTAGGCTCCTCCAGGGGAGAGGGAAGAGCTGAACGACTTCAACTGGGAACCTAACAGAAATAATGTCTTTGAAAATCCACTGCTGTGGTCTGCTGTCTCTCCGGATTGAGAAGTCCTCGAGACAGCAAGAGACCCTGTCCTGGTCCTTCGTTTCACACCCGGTTTTATAAGGCCCTTTTCTAGATCACCAAAGCCACTGGCAAAGACAGCTCTTCCAGCCATCGATCTCGAGCACCGGACAGTGTTGGAGAAGTGTGAAGGCGCGGGAACTCGCTGGGTCTTACTTCGGCAGCGGAGTACTGCGCAGGGCTAAACCTGGGTTGGGCCCAGCGGGGTAGGAGACTGGGTAGGGCCGAACCTTGCAGCCTCCGCGACCCGCTGCCTGGGCCCGCGCGCTTAGTTCAAGTAACCTTAACCCTCCCGCCCTCCACGGCTTCGGGGGAGAGAAAAGAGCTGAAGAATCACTGCAACCAGGCGGAGATCCGACAGCCCAGAGGCCGCAAACCTCCGCCCAGGAAGCCCCACCCAACGGGAACCAGGACGCCTCCGCCTTAGCCGAGCCCACGCGCGACCGGGCGAGGGCGCGGAAGGGCGCGTGCGGAGTGACGACGCGACTCGCGGCGCATCCCGTGACGCCATCGCGCCCGCTTTTGAAAGTTGGCGCCCGGGGCCGCCTCCCATGCTGCCCCGCGCCAACCCCTCCCCTCACCTTTCCTCCCCCGCCCTCAACTCGCCGCCGGCCGGCCCCCCCAACCCGTCTCTTCCCTTATCAGCACCCGCGGCCCCGGCAGCGCCGACGCAGGCGCACTGCACCGCGCCGCCGCCATTTTGTGTCCGAGCCTGTGGAGCGATTAAACCGTGCGCGGAGCTGCTTCTTTGGCGGCAGCGGCGACAGCGGTAGTCAGTGCAGGCACGCGGAGCTAGCCGGGGACGCCAGGTGGCCGGAGCGGTGGAGCGGCGGCGGAGCGGGCGCCGCGGGGGGTGTGGCGCGAAGGTAAGGGGGCCCGGGGTGGAGGAGGTTTCGCGGGCCGCCTCTAGGTGTCACGATGGGGCCGCTCCGGTCGGCGCTGGCTGCAGCCCGGCGCCAGCGCCGCCGCCGGGGGGTGTTTGTCTCCCTCTACCGTCCCTGCTGCGGCGCGGCCGCCGCCATTGCCCGGCGCTGCCGCCAGGGCCTGGCCAACCCCCTCCACGCCCGCCCGCCAGCTTCCCTCCGCCCAACATGGTAGGCCTCTGGCGGCGGTGGCGACAGAGGCCTGCGCGCTCGGCGACTCCATTTTCCTTCCTTTGTCTCTACCCTCGAGGCCGGCTTTTGGCCCGGCTGATCTTCGGGCCGCGGCCCGCCCTCTGCCCTCCGCCCCTCCCGCGACGGGTGGCCCTAACCGAGGCTGGACCTCTTGAGGCTCGGTTTCCGCGCTTGCCTCGCTCGGGGGTCCTGAACCCTCTAACGCCCGCGCGTAGCTGGGTCCCGGAACCGTGTGGGTGTCGGGTCCCTACTGCCGCGCCTCGGACTGCCCATCTTCCCAGTCTACCCGCTCCCGGAACCTACCCGGCCGCCGAGTACTTCTCCAGCAGCTGGGGTGCTCTCTAGTTCCTCCGAGTCCGATCATCGTCGCCGCTGGTCTCCGTCGCCGCCGAGTGGCGCAGGCGGCGCTGCTGTGGCTGCGAGCAGAGGGACCCCTGAACTGCCGAGAGCTCCCTCTGCAAGGCTGGCTGAGCTGCTCGCGCCTCGACGCCGCCTGAGCGGGCGGGGGAACGCGCGCTCGCCGCCCCCTCCGGGTCCCGTTGCGCCCCCAAACTCACGCCAGGGCATCGCGCCGGACCCGATCGATGCGGCCCCCAATGGTGGGCGGAAAAGACTCGAATTTCCGCACCAAATAGTTTTTTTCCCCAGCTAGGTTCGCACTCTTCAGCCCCTTGGAATGATAACACATTGTGTGCTCAGAGATCTCAAAGGGACTGAAACTTATTTCACTCTGATCTCAAGTGATGTGTTAAACTCCAAAATTCGGGAGCATAGGCTGGTTACGTTTGTGCAGGCGACGCTGGAGTTTGCCTCCAGTTTAAAAATGTCCTGCCGGTAACTTCGCACTCCACTTAGGACCTGATGCTCTAGGGCTAGGCTAAGACAGTTCAACCCTCTGGGATTGTGCAACCCGATATGAAGCGCCAGTAGGGCAAAATGAACTTATTCTCGACTAGACTGGTAGTTTGACTGTTGGATGAAATGTGAGGATTGATGTTGTAATTGAGTCCTGGGTCACTTGCAGCAGACGGTTTATAAATGTGTGTGCCTAATGTAACTACTCTTTAGTAGCTGACTTCCTGGATTGAGTTTAGCATTAAGTAAACATCAGCATAGAGACAATACTTTTTTGGAGTTTAGATAACTAAGAAAGTTAAAATTTCACTACCTCCATAGACAGGAAAAGAAAGTAAACAGGGTATTTACCCTGACTTTAATTCTTTTACATTAAAAAGCTTACGCTGTTAAATTGTTGAAGTAACCTTTATTTCCCGAGTCTCTCCCCCATATTTTGTTACTAATTAGTCGCTGATGTGTGACTTAGGTTCTTAAGTAGAAAAGAAACTCTAGGTTGACATTTATAGAAAAGAAGATATTTAAGTTTATTAAAAGCTTTAAACATCTTCCCACCCCAAACCCTCGGACAGAGTAGTTTCACTCTGTAGCTTTGGCTGGCCTCCTACTCAGAGATCCACCTGCCTCTGTCTCCCAAGTGCTGGGGTTAAAGGTGTGCTCCGACATGCTTGGCTTTCTTTAAACATCTTGATATTAAGAAAAATTATGCTGTTCACTGTATGTTATCTCAGTTTGTAGGTCCTGGCAGCCCCCATTGTACAC